GAACCTAAGACCCCTTGTGAAACGTGAATTCCTTAACTCTATGCACGCTCAAAACCCCCTAACCCTTAGGCTCAACATAGCCCAAAACAAAACCTCATGTGAAAACCCTAAAAAGAGACCCCAAAGCCTAAACCCTAAGAGCCTTAGGGCAGTAAGAGTTTCGGATTGAAATTATGTAGTGTAGCCCAGGACACCTGCAACGACGACACAGAGTTTACGGCGCGGAAGCCCGACAGAAACAGTGCGGTGTTGGGCTTGCAAGGGTTTAGGGTTTAGGGTTTAGGGTTTAGGGTTTAGGGTTTAGGGTTTAGGGTTTAGGGTTTAGGGTTTAGGGTTTAGGGTTTAGGGGGCCTAGTTACATGGCCTTGGAGCTGGTTTGAATTCGGCCGAGGAGCACCCAGTGCTTCCCCGATAGCAACGACGGCGGCAAGTGTCTCGGCGTTGGCTCCCGTGAAGGTGTAGGGTTTAGGGTTTAGGGTTTGGGGTTTGGGGTTTGGGGTTTGGGGTTTGGGGTTTGGGGTTTGGGGTTTGGGGTTTGGGGTTTGGGGTTTGGGGCTTGGGGCTTGGGGTTTGGGGTTTGGGGTTTGGGGTTTAGGCTTAGGGTTTAGGGTTTAGGAATAAGGGCTCAGGGGAGTTCAAAGGATAGAGACATAGGTTACAAAGGCCCTCATGTAAGAACCGTTTCACCCTACTTCAACGTTGGCCCGAGTATTTGTATAGCAGTAGCTCTTACTTCAAAGTCTCCTCGGGCGGTAGAGAGCCTAGGACTTCGAGTTTGGGGATTTAGAGGGTGTGGGGTTCAGGGTTTGAGGCTTGGACTTGCCTTGAGAAAGCATGTGTTCAAAAACAACCTCCAGAAACTTAGAATATGGTTTGTTTAAGGATGATAAGAGCTGCGATGTATGGCGATAAGGACGTTGAGACTTTTTGTAGTTTTCTGTAGGTCATTGTCCGAACTCGCCGCATTATCTTGTCCTTGTCTTCCCCTACGACCCCTCCGTAGGTTCCCCCCTTAAATGACCTTAATTAGGCTTGAATTATCCCTAAATAGCCTTACTTATGGGGAGAACCTACGGGGGGGGGGGGGGGGTAGTCTAGAGGTGTAGTAGGGGAACCCATGATAAGCCCTAAACCCTAAACCCTAAACCCTAAAACCCTTTAAGATGCTTTCCCCAACCCGGTGACGTGCAGGGTTTGGGGTATCGAGTCTCGGGCTTCGAGTTGGTTTAAGAAACTTTTGCGAGGCTCGCAGCTAGGGTTTGGGGTTTTTAGGGTTTAGGGTTTAGGGTTTTTCAGGGTTTAGGATTTAGGGTTTAGGGTTTAGGGCCCCCCATCACCAAAGAAGCTGCAGTCCATCATGATAAGGGCTGCCGAGAAGCACAAAGAAGTGCACAAGTCACACAAAACCCTGGACGAAACTCGCAAAGCCCTCCGAAACCCCCTAAACCCTAGCCCTAAATCCTAAACCCTAAGCCCTCTAAGCCCCTGTTGCTTCCACCAAGAACTCGAACTCCCAAGGTGCAACTCGTGCACCGGCCAAGACCTCAACAACACCGACGACACAACCTGCTGGGCCAAGAGCAGACGTGGCATGGCTTTTAGGGCCTTTAAGGACTAGGGTTCAGGGTTTATGGTTTAGGGTTGTGGGTTTGGGGTTTAGGGTTTAGGGTTTAGGGCTAGGGTCTAGGGTGTGGAGTGTAGAATTTAGGGTTTAGGATTTAGGGCTTAGGGCTTAGGGCTTAGGGCTTAGGGTCCCAAGTGACCCAAGTAGGTTTCATAGGAAGAAGGTATTGGGCCCCCGAAGTCTCAGCTCTGTTGGCAGCTCTCTCTCAATCAGGGTCCCCTTTTTGGGGTGTCCTCCCTCCTCCCGAACCCCGAACCGAACCCCAAACCCTACACCCAAAACCCCAAACCTTAGCCCGAAACCCTAAGCCCTAAACGCCAAACCCTAATAGGACGGTGATCTAGAAAACTGCCACAGAGATTCCTTTGGGCCGGCTTGGGGGTTTGTGGGTGGGCTCGGCTTAGTGCTTTAAGGACGTTAACGGCTTAAATGCGCTTTGTCAGCCTTCCTTGAAAGCTCAGCCCAGAAGCCCCCAGAAGCGCTAACGCTGCAAACCCTAAAGCCAATAAGGCCCAAAGCCGCGGAAGCCCCTAAGGCCCTAAGACCCAAAAAACCTACACAAACCTAACGCTGGCACCATGGACCCTTAGTAGGGCCCCTTACGCTTGTTGATAGGGATCCGAAGTATGGGCCCTTATTATATAGTGCATATAAGGGCTATATAACAAGTGACCCAACTGAAGAGCGCATACTTGGAGCCCTAGAAAAACTCCCAAAATCCCTGAAACCCTAAAGCCCTAAAACCTGAAAACCTACGTCTCAGCAGCCCTAAAACTCTCAAACCCTGAAGTCCCATAAACCTTGGGATGTCACCCCTTACACTGACAGTCCTTAGTAGGGATTTAGGCACCCCTATGTTCATCCCCATGAAGGACTGTTCGTATAGTGGGGAACATCCCAACCTTAAACCCTATGAACCCTGAACCCTCAACCCTAAACCCGAAACCCTAAACCCTAAACCCCAAACCCTAAACCCTAAACCCAAATCTCAGGAGCGCGGGACTGCGTCAAACAGCCGCGCAGTGGAGATTTCCTCAGCTGCCAGTTCGCCGGCGGGTTCGGTGGCGAGGCAGGGTTTAGGGTTGAGGGTTGAGGGTTTAGGGTTTGGGGTTTAGGGTTTACGGTTCATGATAAGGTGCAGGGTTTAGGTTTTTGGGTTTTGAAGGTCTGCCATGTCCTTCCAACTGCATCCCGGAAAAGTGATTGCGGACAAGTGTGGGGGGGGGGGGGGGGGGGGGGGGGGGGGAGGGGGGCAGCGTGGCAGGGCTTGTGCTCCGTGTTGGCGGCCCGTGTGCAGGGCTGCGCGCCGAGGTTGACAAGCCCGGCCTTTTGTCGCGGAAGACGGCCCACCCCCCAACCCCCCAACTCTACATAGCCCAGTTGGCCCTCCTCGAACCTTCTGACAACCTCCTGCCAGTGGGGGGGAGGGCGCTGAAGCCGCTTGACCTCAATGGCACAATGGCGCAGGTCGACCCAGGTCGCGTCGCTCGCCCGCCTACCCTACTCCCGACATCCTAAACCTTATTCCCTAAACCCTAAACCCAAACCCAAAACACCTGCAACCAAAGAGCCCACGGCAGGCCCAGGCTTGCTACGCGAAGCCACCGGAAGGCTTCTGCGTGAAGAAGGCCGGCGCTGCCAGCTGGCCGTCTTTTTTTTTTTTTTTTTTTTGGGGGGGGGGGGGGGGGGAGGGAGGGGGTTCGAGTTGCTTCAGTCTTTTTGTTGTGTGCTGTTTTGTTTTGTTGTTGTGTTGTTTTTTGGTTCTTTTTTGTTACTTGCTCTACTTTTTGGTGTTATTAAGATGTGTTGCGTGCGTTCTGAAAATGACATGCGCACACTAGTTCAGCCACCGCGCGCGTGCGTGATTGAGTGAGTGAGTGTGAGCGAGTGTGAGTGAGTGAGGGAGCGAGCGAGCGACTGAGTGAGTGTTTGTGTGTGCGTGTGTGCGCGAGCTTTTTTTAGCTTAGGGTGTGCAGGATTGAGGGTGTTGGTAGTTCTTGCTTTCGGGTGTATCGGGCTTACGGGGTTTGCAGGGCTTGCGGGATTCACATGGGCTTGTAGGGCTTACAGTTACAGGACTTATTCTAGGGTTCCTGCATGTGGATGTGGGGCTTATCATAGGGCTTTCTCTTGTTTCCAGTGTTTCTAGTTTAAAAAAAACTTACAGCTTATAGTTAGGTTTGTAAAGGCGTTGAGGTTTAGGTTGCAGCTCTAGGACATGTATAGGTCGCTTTTTGGTGCCTGGGTAGTTGTCCACGATAGGGTCCCTTCTTTGGGGCCCTTATTGTAAGGGTGCCGTACTCTCTAGGGGACCAGTCGGGGTTTAGGGTTTAGGGTGTTGGGTTACCTAAACCCTAAACCCTAAACCCTAAACCCTAAACCCTAAACCCTAAACCCTAAACCCTAAACCCTAAACCCTAAACCCTAAACCCTAAACCCTAAACACTACACCCTAAACCCTAAACCCTAAACCCTAATCTAGAAAAGTACCCACATGCGGAAGCGGCGGGCGGAAGCCTCCGGCAGGTTTGCGCCAAGCAGGGCAGTGCGAAGTTTTGCAGGCATCTTGGCACAGCAAAGACAAAAACGCAATCCCTTAAACCCTCAACCCTATAAGGCCTTTAGGGTTTAGGGTTTAGGGTTTAGGGTTTAGGGTTTAGGGTTTAGGGTTTAGGGTTTAGGGCACTGCTATAAGCCCCATAAGCCACTCTCAACCCTAAAACCCCTAAACAACCCCATGAATCGTACGAACCCTACTTTGTCCTAAAATCTTTATGAACCCTTTAAAACCCCTTATGAACCCAGCAAACCCTTATGAACCCTATAAACCCTATGAACCCCATGAACCCAAAAACCCATCAGCCCTACAAACCCTAAAGCTTAGACCCCAAGCCTTTCTTGATTTGCAGGACCTAGGCCCCTAAACCCTAAACTCTAAACCCGAAAGCCTGAACCCTAAACCCCTTTGGTGGGGCCCTTAGTCACCTTGCTCTTGAGGGGATTGGCCAAGTTGAGCCAACGGACGGGCCGAAAGGGTACCCCATCTGTTCCTGTGTCGCTGAGGGCCTTAAATTCTACGCAACCCTTGTGGGCTTTCAAAACCACAAACAATCCTTGAGAAGTTTAGGGTTGAGGGTTTAGGGAAAAGAAAGCCCTAAACCCTTCAGACACTCCAAGCTGCAAGCCTCAATCGTGTACCAGGGTGGCCCTAAACTCTAAACCCTCAGCCCTTAACCCCAAACCCCAACCCCGAAACCCTAAACCCTAAACCCGAAACCCTAAACCCTAAACCCTAAACCCTAAACTCCTAAACCCCCAAAAATCCACAAGGACCTTCGACCCACCGACCTCGGGAGCCTACTGCGTTGGAGACGCGATGGCTCCGGACCCTATCGACCACGTGGCTCGGTGGGACTTTGCTACAACTGTATTGCTTTACAAGTTTAGGGTTTAGGGTTTAGGGTTTAGGGTTTAGGGTTTAGGGTTTAGGGTTTAGGCTCATCTAACTTCATACTAAGGGAGCTCAAAGTTAAGCTTTTCTTGGGAAGTTCAAGAGCAACCAAGGTGGTCATCCGCTACGAGTGCAGCTCGGACACCGTAGATCTTGGTGTAGTGAGATGTAGGAGTTCCCCTATATGGGTTTAGGGTTTAGGGTTTAGGGTCTGGTCAGGTGTTTGGTCAAGCCAGGGCCGCATGAAGCCCAACTCTCAAGCTTCGCAGCAGGCTGTGCAAAAACCCGAAACCTGAAGCACTTTTCAACCGAGACCCTTACTGTGGACCCCCAGTCCATACTTACTAGGATTTGCTAAAGCCCCCCCCCCCCCCCCCCGCACCCAAAGAAAAACACTGCTAGCACATATAGCCCCAAAAAAGGGCAAATACACCGTTACGGCGGTTCACTTTCTGAGGGCTCCCTAAGCACATCCTGGCATAGGCTGCGATCCGAATTTGCTCACCTTTACTGGCAGCTGCGGTGGGGGCAACCCGGCAGACATCGCCAAATATGACGCTTGGTCGTCCAGTGGTACCTTTTTGCCCTTTTTGGGTTCTTCAAACCTTCTAAACCCTACGTACTCTTATTTCAAAAGATATGGTACCTGGGCCACTAAGGAGGTCATGGCCGGCGCGAGGCGGGTGCCGAGTTGAGAGTTCCGGGGAGGGGAGGATTTTGAATACTTCGAGGAATTGCGAGTGCCTTGCGATTGCCGCAGTTGGTGGACAAGGGTTTAGAATTCTAAGGGTTTACGGCTATCGTGGTTGAAGGATTCGGGTTTAGGGTTTCAGAATTTAAGTTTTAGCCCTAAACCCTGAACCCTAAACCTTAGGGCCATATAAGGAGTATACCCTTAGCCCTAACCCCTAATCCCTAAACCCTAAACTGGAGGCTCTTTAAGGGTACAACCCGAGGGTTAAGAGCTCGGATCGCTTCCCTAAACCCTAAACCCTAAACCCGAAACCCTAAACCCTAAACCCTAAACCCTAAACCCTAAACCCTAAACCCTAAACCCTAAACCCTAAACCCTAAACCCGAAGCGAGGAACAACGCGGGAACCCAGTGGTCGCTGCCGGTGAGTTTAACCTGCGCGCCCCTCAGCCTCAGATCAAACGTCAACAAGGACAAGTTCGTCGCCTGGCGCGTTTAGGGTTTAACGTTTCTGGTTTAGGGTTCAGGGTTTAGGGCTTACGGGTTTTTTTGGGGTTAGTGAACCCTACCGCACCGACCCAAATGTACCCTTAGTAAGGGGCTTAGATACCCCAGTGCAAGGCACGTTTCAAGATCTGGTACATGGAGGGGCCCCCTTACTATGCTAACTAATTATCATAGTTAAGGGACTTATAACCTAAGTTAGGATCATTATAACCCAATTTAGGGTCCTTATAACTCCCCTCCTAGTTATTATTGCTTGGAAGGGTCAGGGCGGCATGTAGTGCGAATTGCACGGCTTTTGCTCTGGCTGGCCCATGAGTTTGGATTGCAGTGGTCTAGAAGGCTGCGAGGGGTTTAGGGTTTGGGGTTTAGGGTTTAGAGTCCCTTCTGAAGGTCCCTCCTAGTATCCCGTAAATGAAGCTTCAAGGCGTTTCGAGAGGTGGGATGGGAGGTTTGGGAGTGAGGGTTTTGGGTTTCATGTTGCAGCCCTTTAAACCCTAAACCCTAAGCCCTAAACCCTAAACCCTAAACCCTAAACCCCATAACCCTATAATCCTAAACCCGAAACCCTAAACCCTAAACCATTCCCTCCGAGGAGATTCCTGAGAAATGCTCGCGGCTGCTGCCCGGGGAGACGTGTGAGGTGGGATGCGGCTCCAACTACATCCTTCAGAGGACGAGGGCTCAGGGTTCAGGGTTTAGGGTTTCGGGTTCAGGGTTTAGGGTTTAGGGTTTCGGTTTAGGGTTTATAGGGTTTAGGGTTTAGGGCTTCTAGGGCTCCCAGGCTTTGCTGGCTCTGTAGGGTTTAGGGATTTAGGGTGCAGAGTCTAAGGTTTAGATTGCTTCTGCCTACACCCTAAACCCTAAACCTCGGTACCAAAAAAGGCCACAACGGAGGGATGAGGGCGTAGGGTTCAGCGTGCAGGCGTGTGGGGATTGAGGGCTTAGGGCCTGGGTGTTGAGGATTCGGGTAGTTAACCTAAACAAACCCGAAGCCCTCAACCCTAGACCCTAAACCCTCGCGCCTCTTCCCGCACCTGAACGTGAGGAGAACCAACCGAGGCACCTTTACTTGCCAGCTGGGGATGAACAGGCCTCCGGGCACATCATCGGTTCTCTAAGCTCTACTTGCAGGTTCATGGTACTTGTTAACCAAGTATAGCTGTACTTGTAACCCACTTAAAGGCCCCTTAAGTGCCCTAATATGCTTATAAGTACAGTTATCCTAAACCCTAAACCCTAAACCCTAAACCCTAATTCCTAAACCCCTCTAAGTACAGTCTTAATTGGTTAACAAGTACCATGAACCTCCAAGTAAAGGTCATGGTCTCATGTTGGGAGCTCCTCTCCTTTCTTTTCAAGGAGCTAAAGGAGGGACCCTTATAAGGGACCTTAGGTTTAGGGTTTCTAGGGTTTAGGGTTTAGGGTTCAGGGTTCAGGGTTTAGGGTTCAGGGTTTAGGGTTTAGGGTTTATAGGGTTTAGGGTTTAGGGTTTAGGGTTTAGGGTTTAGGGTTTAGGGTTTAGGGTTTAGGATACGGGTCCCTAGAAGTAGGGGTCCCTCCTTATACCCCTTGAATCGTGTCATAGGCAGCGATAGGATATGCAGGGTATTTGCATAAGAGGGGCTATACTTTTGAGACCCTCTTGTGAGGTTTCGCGCTACGGCGTAAGGAGCCGCTGAACTTTAAGCCAGAAGGTTGGATTCGTGTTCAGGGTTTAGGGTTTAGGGCTTAGGGATTAGGGTACAGGGTACATATCTCAGATTTTCTCCTAGGGTTTCATGTGTGAGGTGACATGTCGGTCGCCTTTGTAAGTGTAGGTACTTCGTTGATTCACGGTCCAAAGTTTAAGGCTCGATGCCCAAGAACAAGCAGACCATTTCTAGCAAGAGCACCGAGCCAAAACAGCCGGGGCTGAGAGCCCTGACTCCAGAACCCAAAGCCCCAAGCCCCAAGCCCCAAGTCCTCATCCCTAAGCCCCAAACCCCAAACCCTAAACCCTAAACCCTAAACCCTACTCCTAAACCCTAAATCCTTCAACCCTAAAGCCATAAAGCCATTTAAACCCTCAGTGCCCTGAGCCCTGCACAGGCAGCTGGCGGGAAACCTCCCCAGGTGCAAGAATAAGCCGCCTCATGGCTCTGGTGAGAAGGTTTAGGGCTTAGGGTTTAGGGTTTAGGGTTTAGGGTTTAGGGTTTAGGGTTTAAGGTTTAGGGTTTAGGTTTTAGGGTTTAGGGCCTCTGCTGGTCGGTCTCCCAATTGTAGCCCTCATTTTTTGGGCTTCAGGGTTTAGGGTTTAGGGCTTAGGGCTTAGGGTTGAGGGTCGAGGGTTTATGGTTGAAGAGAGTCGAATAGCCACTTTTTTAAAGTATCCTCGGCTGAATTGAAACCCTGAACCCCTCAAACAAGGGACCACAAATTTAGAGTCTCAGAAAACTCTTCAAAGCCCTAAGCCCTCAACTTTAACCTTAGCCCCTAAACCCGAAACCTTAAACCCTAAACCCTGAAAAATGCCTTCATTGCCTAAGGAGCGGCAAAAACAACTGCAACGGCCAGGCCGGTTGCCACGCCAAGCCCTATAGCCCTAGCACCCTAAAGCCCTCGGTTAAGGGTTGAGGGTGTAGGGTTTAGGGCCTACAGCCCTAGTGTCCCAAAGCCCTAAAAAAAGCCGAAGGCCCGAACGTCTTAAAGCCCTAGAACCTGTGTCTCAGCGTCTTCGCGGGTATTGGCTTGGGAGTTGACATGATCAAGGGTTCAGACTCGTACCCCTAAGGTTGCATCCCTAAAGGTTCCCAACAGATGTACTCCTAGTATAGCCGTCACATTCCCTAAAACCCTAAACCCTAAACCTTAAACCCTAATCCCAAACCCAAGGCTACCACCTTAGGAGTCCAAGGTAAAGCCCTGCCCTTGGCATGAGACGTTTTAGGGCTCAGAAGCCCTGATGTGCGGCTTGTGCTGGCCGCTTGTCGTGTGTTTGCTCTTCCTCGCGTCAGGCGCACGTGTCCACGACCACCACAACATCGGGCTTGCCCGCGGATTGTGAGCTTTGTGCACAGATCGGCCACTCGGAGTGGGATTGGCTGTTGCGGGTTATGTTCCGGGTTCTCTTAAGCGTGCCAATGTCAATGTGGAGCCTGTTTTCCTGCTGGTTCGGTTGGATATGACATCAAGGTCTTAAACCATTCTCCGTGCCTTCACTCGTGCACGCACAAAAAGCGATGTCTGCAATGCGGGCACATCAATCAATATTCCTTTCTCGTGGCATATCCTGAAACAGTTTACTATAGCTGCTTGTTTTTCAGCAGCAAGTCGTGATCTTTCACAACGAGCTCAGCCCCCAATACAGTTTTGGTCTTCGTGTCTACTCATCAGCTGTGGGACACACATTTCAAAGGCCTTAGAGCATGTATGAGGCGATCAGTTGCGCCGAGGGCTTCGCAGAGGTTCCACCAAGGTTCAGGGCTTAGAGGCATGAGAGACATCAGGTTTCCTAGTGTCAACCCTCTCAAACCCCAAACCCCCGAAACCTTAAACATGGTAGTCAAAGGTTGTGGTTTGTATCGTTAAGCTAAGGTTTCAGGGCAATGCCATCCAAAAGGGGGGACCTAGACTTTTGTAACTCCCAATAATTAACCCCAAACCCTAAACCTAATTCAACCCTGAAACAAAGGCAACTACAAGGACAGCCGTTTCGAGCAGTGCCGCTTTTGGGGAGACCCTCACATCACGACGCCCGGTGGAAGATGTCCCATTTCGAGGAGTTCGACCCCAAACCGTAAACCCTAAACTCGACTTACTCGAGCAGAAGGATGTCGTTTGAGGTAAGTTTGCGCCGCGTGCCCTCTCTTGGGATGTTCCGCTTTTAGTTGCCATCCCCACCTTACGCCGGCCCCATTGACTTCGAGCCCAGAACCAAAGTTCGAGGACTGAGAAAGCTACCTTATGGGGCCGTCTGTTTCTTTAGGGTTTAGGGTTCAGGGTCTAGGGTTTGGGGTTTGGGGTTTTGGGGCCGTGCTATTTAGGGTCTTTAGGGTTTCCGGTCTAGGGATTGTAGCTACAATGGTTTAGGGTTTAGGGTTTAGGGTTCAGGAGGGTTTAGGGTTTAGGGTTTAGGGCTCAACCGAATTCACCCTAAAGCCCAACACGCTGAGGAAGAGCTGGCGTCCCAGACAGCGATTTAATTTCCAAGGTGGCCTGGGGGGGGCAAGGGCTTAAAATCCCACGGCTTTCGGGAGTGATGCGTCGTCGTTTTTTTGGGGGATAGGGTCTAAGGGTTCAGGGTGTTCCATGCTTGCTTATGAGTGTTTTGGGGTTAAAGAGTTTCAGGGGTTGGGGGTCAAAATCGAGGTTTCGGGCGGCCCGGCCCCTCCCCCCGCCGCGTGCTTCTCACCATGTGATGAGTCACCCTAAACCCTAAACCCTAAACCCTAAACCCTAAACCCGAAACCCTACATGGTTTAGAACGACGAATGACCCACCTAAGGCGCCGCAAAGATGATGCATGTTGGAATTAAAGTGATCCATGTGGGACCACGAGCCCCAAATTACGTAGTAGGATTCCCTTATCTACGAATTGCTTAAGAACCCACCCAAAAAATGACAAATATTCTTCATTAATTATAAGATAGTAAAGGATTGTTTTGTTGTTTGTTTTTTTCGGGGTTCTTAAGCAAATGGTAGTTAGAACAAGGACCCCAATAAGGTATCCCGAATTTCGGAAACCCCCATGTTGCTTCCCCAATTTCTTGTAAATTCGGGTGGATCTCTCCTGGAGCTTTGGTTTGCATGCATGCCCCTTGCCAGGATGCCCAGTAGCACCGTTGTTCCCTTTTCAGGGGGGTTTAGGGTTTGGGATTTAGGGTTTAGGGTTTAGGGTTCAGGGTTCAGGGTTCAGGGTTTAGGGTTTAGGGCAACCTAGACTATAGCAACAGAGCCCCCCAAGCTACTTTCACCCCGCTCCGATGCCGGCAGGCTTGACAGGAAGGCCCTGCTGCCTCTGTACCCCAAACATAAAAACCCCAAACATAAAACCCTAAACCCTAATCCTTAAACCCTGAACCCCAAACCCTATCCCTAGATCCGAAACTCCAAAGTCCTCAAACCCACAACAAGCCGCCTAAACCCTAAACCTTAAACCCTAAACCCTAAACCCCCAGAGCCTGACGAGACACTGGAATCCATCGCTACGCGCGAGCTGCCCGCTGCGCCGGCGACTTCGAGCTTCACGTCTTCCAATGCCGCTCGAGCCAGTCAGGTTTAGGGTTTAGGGCTTAGGCTGTAGGGTTCAGGTTTAGGGTTTAGGGTTTAGGGTTTAGGGCTTAGGGTTTAGGGTTTAGGGTTTAGGGTTTAGGCCCTTTTCTGTTGTCTGGGGCCGTTGGTTCAGAGTTGAGGGTGTGGGGCCATTTAGGGTTTCGGGGCTTGGGGCGTGTTTTGGAGGTCGAAGGTTTTTCAGGCTCAGTGGCTTAGGGTTTAGGATGTGGGGTTTGGGGTCCAGGGCTTTGCAGAATAGAGAGTTTGACGTAGTGGGGGCCTTGGTTTAGCCTCAAGACCTCAGCCTAAACGCTGAAAACCCCAAACCCCCCAAACCCCCAAACCCCAAGCCTCTAAGAAATCTCAAGAACCCCCACACCCCCAAACACCTAAACACCTAAAACCCCTCATCACCTGAACACCTAAAACTCCAAACGCCCGAACCCCTAAACACCCAAACTGCTGGACCCCCAGACTCCTAAACACCTAAACTCTACACCCGAAACCACCTAAACACCTGAATCCCTAAGCACCTAAACCCCTAGAGCCCCTAAACATCTAAACCCTGGACCTTATAATCGGGGGTCCTATAGTCCCTATTAAGGACTGTGAGTATAAGGGTGAACATGCCAACCTAGAGCCCCTAAACCCTAAACCCTAAGCCCTAAACCCTAAACCCTAAACCCTAAACCCTAAACCATGCTAAACCCTGTACCCTGAAGCTTCAGTAAGCCTCAAGAAGGTCAGTACAGCCGCGGCCGGAACTCTGTGGCGACTGGCATCGCAGCGCGGTGGACGGCCTGAATGGGCTGTTGAGGGCTTGGGGTTTTGGGTTTAGGGTTTAGCGATTTTTCGGGTTTGCGATTTGTCTAGGGTTTTATGTAGGAGCTGTATGTAGGGGTTATGTGGTCTCGTAGGGTTTTCAGCGCATATCTCATTGCTAGGCTTGAGGCTTAGGGCTTTTAGGGATTATGTATCTGTGACTGACAGGTTCTTTGTGCGCTTCATAGGGTTCTTCGCGCTTCAAGGACCTGAAGGGTCGTTAGTTACATGGTCCCTTAGTATGGTTCCTTGCCTTCTTTAAAGGGTTCTGAAGTAAGGGCCCTTGGTTTTACACGGTATATAGGGGCACAGGGTTTAAGGGGTCCCTGCGTAGTCCCTTTTAAGGGCCCAGACGAAGGGATCATGTAACTGCCGAAGAAAGGAGGTATGGGCTCGAGGGTTGCCGGGACTCGGCTTTTAGTGCTTAGGGCTTAGGGCTTAGGGCTTAGGGTTTAGGGTTTAGGGTTTAGGGTTTAGGGTTTAGGGTCCTTTCGAGCTGATTATGAGGCTTGACGGCTTTAGGTGTTTAGGGCTATAGGCCTTACGGGGGTTTATGGTTTTAGGCAGGGTTCAGGTTTGGGGTTTCGCCTTGCAGGGCCGTTAGAGACTGAGCCCTAAACGTGTTGGGGCTTGGCGAGGTTTGGGAATCTGGCTTTGGGGCGCTAAACCCTAAACCCCAAACCCTAAACCCTAAACCCTAAACCGTAGAGCTTGGAGATTACGTAGGGTAGCACGGGCTTTGCGCTTTTGAAGGCTTCGGGTGTGGGAGTTTTCGGGCTCAGGATGCTTTAGGGTACTACTATTTGCTCAGGGAACCCCCAATGAAACATATTCTGGCAATATAGGTGTTTTTTTAAATTTCCGGGGTGATCTTAAGCAAATAGTAGGGTGTAGTATACGGTCTGTGTGGAGCTTACAGGATGTGGGCGATATGGGGGCCCTAGGGGATCCTTTGGCATACGTCCCAGTCCCCAGCCCTATGGGTTTAGGGTTTAGGGTTTAGGGTTTAGGGTTTAGGGAAAACTGAGGATCAACGGAAACGCCACCGTCTTCATCAGCGATCGCGTTGTGGAGACCACTGGCGGTATCTTTGCAACTCGGATGGTATTCATCCCGTGAACCCTACGCCGCAGACGTGTGCCAGCAATGTCGAGCTGGATGCCGAACATCCCTAACTCCAACACCACTGGCAGCTCAAGATTTCCAACCTAAACCCCAAACCCCAAACCCTAAACCCTAAACCCTAAACCCTAAACCCTAAACCCTAAACCCTAAACCCTAAACCCTAAACTGCCCTGACCCTAAACGATCCGTTCTACAAACAAGGTTCCCTTTGCCTAGACCACTGGAACCTAGGGTCCCTAAACCCTAAACCCTAAACCCTAGGGAAGTGCGGCTTCAGCTCCGCGCCTCTTTTTAACGTGTGGGGGGGGGGGGGATTCTCTCAATCATGGGCCGTTTTTTGGGTACCCATATATAACCCTAAACCCTAAACCCTACATGCATGCATATACACATATATATATATATACATATATATATATATACATACATATATCCGAGCCTCGGTACTATACTACTCGCAGCAACAAAAGAGGGCCCTAATCTCGAACACCTCCCATGTCCTTCCCACACCTCCCGCTGTGTGCTCCAGCGGCCCGGGCAAGAAAGACGTGGAGATGGGCCTGGAAGGTTACCGATGGCGTTTGGTGGTGGGGTTGGCGGCTGCACGAGCCAAGAAGCACCACTGCAACGGACTCCACAACTGAGCCATCTCAGTCAGGGCCTATCAAAAAAAGAAAGAGAGAAGCGAGCCCATGAGCCTGTGCATGCAGGATCTTTCGGCTCCGGAAGCTGCATGCTCGGCAGCTTAATTCGAATTGCCATTGTCATGGCCTAAGGGGCTCGACGGTCAGCGCTTTAAGGTTTTTTGGGTTTTTTTTTTTTGGGGGGGGGGGGTTTTGAAGGTTTAGGGTTTTGAGGGTTGAAGGGTTTAAGGGTTTTAGGACTTAGGTCTATGCCCGGATGGCTTTGGGAAGAGGATTGTCTGGGGTGGTTTTGGGCTCCGGGCTGGGGACGCTCGAGCTTCGGGTTCATGGATTCATTGCGTTTCTTGGTAGCCCCGAAAGTAGCCCTGTTCCCTTTTGTTTGCACAAGGTTCCCTTATCCCTTATAAAGTAACCGACCCCAGAAAAAAGGTACCCTTATGTTAATATGGTCACTGGGCTACCAAGGCTTAGAGGTCAGGGTGTCCATGGGATGCTTGAGCGCTCATGGCCTTAAGGTTTAGGATTTTGCACGCGAGGTGGAACCAGACTCCGGGGCCATCATCAACGACAGGACGGGCGTGAACGTCCAGAGACGGGGGCCCCAGATGGCTGGAGGGGCAGTACAGGGAGGGTTAGGGTCTAGGGTCTAGGGTCCAGGGTCTAGGGTCTAGGGTCTAGGGTCTAGGGTCTAGGGTCTAGGGTCTAGGGTCTAGGGTTTAGGGTTTAGGGTTTAGGGTTTAGGGTTTAGGGTTTAAGGCAAGGAGGGCCCCCTTTCTATGCTAACTATAGTTAAGGGACTTATAACCTAAGTTAGGATCCTTAATTATAACCCAATTCAGGGTCCTTATAACTCTATGTATAACTAGGGGGGCCCCCTCCTTGTAGTCATGATATGTAACATAATCTAGGACCGGGAGTAGGCCCTTTTTTCCTTCTGTCAGGGTTGGGTTCTCTTGCAATCCGCTTTTAAACAAAAAGGGACCCTTTTATTATTCTAGGTTACTCCCGGGTCTAGTAATGGATGTCAATATAGATATACACATACATAAATAAACAGATACAGTCACAAACGAGGTTTAGGGTGTCGTGTTTTCAGAAGGCAGAGGGATTGCCTTGTTGTTTTTTCTTCCCTGGGGAGGGGGGGAAGTTTGGGAGATCCTTCGATATGGTCGGCCTCATGGGTTTTAGGGTTTAGGGTTAGGGATTAGGGTTTCGGTTTAGGGTTTAGGGTTTAGGCCTGCTCAGGGCTTGGGAATGAAGGCGCTAGGTGTTCGTTTGCTTCCTGTATCTTGGGACCTTTCCCCGGTATACGAACAGTCCTTAACAGGGATTATATAGGAACCCAAATATAATCTCGATTCAGGACAGTTAATATAGTGGGGAACATCCCAACCCTAGACCCTAAACACTCTAAACTCTAAACCCTAGACCCTAAACCCCTATGGTGCCTATTATAACCCCTATTAAGGACTGTTTGTATAAGGGGGGCACATCCCACAAATCTCAGGCGATGATGAGTGCGTGTTCTTCAACGTCAACGTGAAGAAACTTGGCTACAACGCCATACTGGGTCCCTGCAACGTCTGCAGGTTAGGAAGACCAGGCTTGTAGCAAGAAAGGTGTCGGAATAATTTCTAATATTATTCCCTTAGAGTCCCTTGATAGTTATATTATCGTTACCCCCCAAAACCCTATCTTACTTATTCAGGCCCCCTATTTTATGCCCTTTGTACCGACCTCACCCCGTAGCAGTAGTCAAGGACGCGCGCAGTTCCTAAATGCAAGCACACGCTCAGAAAACGCGTGCACATGAGTGTTTATGGAGTGGGGAGTACACAACTACAGCTTTTGCTGTTTGTTTGGATGTGCGTTCGCTTTGGGGAGGGTTCAGGGTTTATACGGTCCTTAGTAGTAGAGTAGATAACCTTTAACCTTTTTGGGTTAATATATTACCCTTAGAATCCCAAAAGGTTAACCTTTAAAACCCCTAGGTACTGGACAACTAAGGGTCTGCATCAGGCTCCAGTTGGGGAGTCCAAGTGTTTTGTATTTGTTTTTTGTACATGGTAAGTTACCACAGCGTACTAACGTACTAAACGGGTCCTGTCGGCAACTCTCCAACTGGCTAAGCCAAGGGCTACGACATGCAGCCAAAACGCCGAGAACCCTAAGCCCTAAATCCCTAAACCCTCAACCCTAAACCCTGAACCCTGAACCCCTAAACACTAAACCCTAAACCCCCCTAAATCCCCAAATCCCTAAACCCTGAACCCGAAACCCCAAGCCAAACCCTGAAACCCAAACCGTGAGCCTCGTGTGGCCGAGGCATGTCAACAAGAACCCAGGCCAGAGCTGAGGGTTTAGGGTTTTGGGTTTTGGGTTTTAGGGTTTAAAGGTTTAGGGACTAGGGTTTAGGGTTGCGGGTATGGGGTGTAGGGTTGAGGGATTTGGGTTGAGGGTTATCATCCACAGCCCTTAACCCTGAAGTTTTTTTCTGGGACCCTATTTACCTACAGTTGTGTAGTAACTACCTCTCAATTAGGAGGTATAATCCATCAAGCTGTAACTGTAGGTAAGGAGGCTCCAAGGTAGCTTCATAAAAGGAGCCTTCGAATACCAAGAAGCATTGGGGGGGGGTGGGAAGTGGGAAATCAGGGTTCCTTTATTTGGGGGGGGGGGGGGTCCATTTAAACGGGTGCCACCTCAGATTGTGCGGGCCACCGGGTAGGATTTAGGGTTTAGGGTTTAGGGTTCAGGGTTTAGGAGAGCTACAGCTCCTCAAAGCTTGTTGGCTGTGCGAAGGGTTTCGGGTTTTTTCGAGGTGTTTAACGGTTGCGAGCTTTCGGAGCTTTAGGGGTTTTTGTGATTTTGAAGTGCCCTAAACCCTAAACCCCAAACCCCAAACCCCAAACCCCAAACCCTAAACCCTAAACCCTAAACCCTAAACCCTGAACCCTTAGAGTGGCTTAAGGGTTTCAGCCTTGGTATCGCGGAGGCTTCCTTCACAACATGAAGCTGCACATGTTCGGGCAGGCAAGCTGGGAAGTTGCATGGTTTTGGGCTTGTCAGGTTTAGGGCTTAGGGTTTAGGGTTTAGGATTTAGGGTTCAGGGTCTCGGGTTTAGGGTTTAGAGTGTAAGGTTTTGGGGTCACTTTTGGCTTTCGGGGAGTTTTGGGGGCTGACGAGAGTTTAGGGGGTCTTAGGGGGGGTTTCATTGGGGGTTTTTCGGAAGCCCCTACACTCATCAACCCCGTACACCCAGACCCTAAGCTGCTCGGAAGGTTCCCACCAAGCCTGACAACCCCCAAACCCCTACATCCACAATCCCCTAAACCCCTGCACCCCAAAACCCTAAGCCCTAAGCCCTAAACCCTAAACCCTAAACCCTAAACCCTAGGTTGGCGTTCAGGCTTTTAAGGTTGAGGAGGGTCCCCAAGCCCAACAATACAACCCTATGGGTCCAAGGCCAAGTCCCCTAAAAGGAGGAAGGTTTTAAGGTTGGGAGCCTAATTTTTACACCCACAAAACCCCTCAACACCCTAAGCCCTAAACCCTACACCCTAAACCCTAAATAGGGGATCCGAAATATGGGCCTTACTTTGGGTCCCTTGTTATCTAACCCTTGTATACACAAAATATAATAAGGTCGGATCCCTATAAACAAGGGTAAAGGACCACCCTAAGGGTCCTTACCTTCGACTAAACCCACAAAACCCCCCCAACACCAGAAGCCCTCTACCCTAAACCCTGAACCCTAAATCCTAAACCCCAAACCCTAAACCCCAAACCCTACTCTGCGGCTCGAAGCCCAGCTTGGTCAGGACATCACCCACGATGGAATCTGCGGAGCAGCAGACCTGAAGACACAGTACCCTGGCAGGTTTTTCTTTTAGGGTTAAGGAGTTTAGGGTTTAGGGTTACGGTTGCGGGTTTTGCCTTCAGGCTTTGAGGATGGGATTGTGGTTGAGGGTTGAGTTGGGGCTTCGGGACTGTGTTTTTTGGCTCCAGGTAGTTTCAGGACATGCGGGTTTACGAAGATAGGGGACCCCCAATCTACATCTCCAGATAATAGGATCCCCCTGTAATAAGGACCCCAATAAGGTGCTCCTAACTTCGGACACCCCCATCTAAAGAGCAAGGTCCCCGCAGCCGCATCACTCTAAGGGTAGTTTCATGGGCCCTTAAAGATGGACCCTTACCCTCCTGCAATGGGTTCCGATGTATGGGCCCTTGGGCTCAATTTCAAGGGCCCAATATTTCAGGACCATGTAACCACCCTTTCAAATCACACACGTTAGAGGGTTCTTAAGGGAGGGGGTTCATGCAGGGGGGTAGGTCCCTAGGGAACCTTCAAGAACCTACGGGTGCCTTTTCCGAGTAGCGGGGGAGTATAAGGGAACCCTCCCCCTTGAAGACCCCCTCCCTTAAGAAGCCTAGAACTAAACCCGAAACCCTAAGCCCTAAGCCCCGGGGAGACCTAACGATAAGCCCTGAATCCTCAACCCTGTAGAGGCCTAAACCATAAGGGGCCATGTAACCGCCCTTAGAATCACAGGTACATCGATCCCAACTCCACCAACACGATGATCTTCACGCCAGAGCAACACTTGGACCTGCCTCTTGGCGTGGCATTTTTTGTCTTGTTTGGGGGCCACAAAGCCCTAGACCCTAAACCCTAAGCCCTAAACCCTAAACCCTATAAGCCCTAATCCTCACACCCTAAACCCTCAAGGCCCTGAACCCCCGACTCAACCCCGACATAAACCCTTCAACTCTTGGCAGTAAAAGATTTCATCACGGCACTTATCCCCTATGTGGCCTTAGAGCAAGACAAACAAGGCCCGATGCTTAAACCTAAGCCCTCACCTTTGAGGCTTCATGCATGGGGCTGAGGTGTGGTGGCTGAGGCGTAGTGAGCAGTGCTGTACAAGCACCCTTTAATGGGCAGCATTCCTTACACTAGAGTCGAACTCCCAAAAGGACATGACATGTAGCATCGCGTCAACAAGGTGCTGTGGCTGAGAATCTAGGCAAGGTCCAGGGAAGGGGGATGCTTCAGGAACCATGCTATCTCAAGGCAGGTCAGCCAAGCCACCCTAAACCCCCAACCCTAAACGCTAAACCCTAAATCGGGTTGAGGGTACGGATCCCCCATCGACAGCCTGGCGTAGCCTACACACCCCCAGGAAAACATAGATTTCATAGTCTGGGGGACGTGTGAGGTTGTTTCTTTGCTCGCTGCAGCTGAACCCTACCCACCCAGTGAAAGCTGAGTGTGTCTGTAGGGTTTAGGGTTGAGGGTTTAGGGTTTAGGGTTTAGGGCTGGCGTCTTCGAGGTGCAACCAGTGCGTCTATGCAGGCATGGTGGGCGCGCAGAGCCCGCAAGGTTTCGGTAGCTTAGGGTTTGGGGTTGTTTTTTTTTGGGTTCTGGTGTTTTGGGTTATACAGGGTTTGGGGTTTAGGGTTTTCAGGTTCTGGGGTTTTGGGGTTATAGGGTTTTAGGGTGCTAGGGTTTTAGGGTTTTAGGGTTCTAGGGTTCTAGGGTTCTAGGGTTCTAGGGTTCCAGGATTCTTGGGTTTCGGGCCATTCTGCCCCCTGTGGCGGCCGGGTTGCCGGATCTTTGGCCCTCCATGAGTCCCTTGAGCATACTCTTGCGGTACAGGGCTAGGGTTTAGGGTTTGGGGTTTAGGGTTTAGGGTTTAGGGTTTAGGGTTTAGGCTCTATGGTCTAGGGCTTAGGGTTTAGGGTTCGGGTTCAAGGGTTCATTTATGGTTGAGGGTCTAGGTTTTAGGGTGCAGTCGCACTGGCGCAGGGACAGAAGCTGAAATCTCAAACCGCAACCCTTTGAGCTTCACTGGTTTCAGGTTGCTCATAGCAGCAATGGGGTCCCAAACCTCGCCTCAAAGAGGTGCCCCCGAAATAATGTCTCCGCTTTGGCATTTGACTCTTCATGGCTCCCCCCTTATCCCATCTTCGCTGCTGATCCCAACCCTAAACCCTTAAACCCCTGGGCCCCTAAACCCCTCAACCCCTAAACCCCTAAAACCCTAAGCCCTGAACCCTAAACCCGTCAGGGGGAAAGCCTCCGCGCGGCTGCCCTGAGACAACTGCAGTTCCGAAGACCTACACCACAGGTGCCCTGCCGGGTTGCACGAAGGCTTTGGGCTTTTGGGTTTAGGGTTTAGGGTTTAGGGTTTAGGGTTTAGGGTTCAGGGTTCAGGGTTTAGGGTTTAGGGTTTAGGGTTGCTCAGGGATACAACAGGCAACATCCGGGCCTTAGGGTTTGAGGGGCTTAGCGTTTGAGGGATTGAGGTCGAGGGCTTAGGAGCAGACCCTTACTACTACAGTTGGCCCCTAAAAGCCTCAAAGCTAGAACCTTTGGTCCGTCAACCCTAGAAATCCAACTACCTCTGATCCCCTGAGCCCTGAACCCTGAATAGAAGTTGTATAGAAATCACCTTCGCAGTTGTCCGCCATCTCTTCGACAGCCTTGCAGCTAAGGCTCAGCTCCAGCTGTGTGTTCCCCAAGAAAGTTTCACAGCCAAAGCAAACTCTTCCTGCCCTCTGCCCCAAACAAAGGCAAACAGACAAGCAAGACGGCAAGCACCTAAACCCTAAATTTAAGAGCCTCCGACTCAAACCGCCGACCCCGCTGGAGCATAGTTGAGAGGTCTAGGGGGGGTCAGGACAAGCGCAAGCCAAAAGACAGGCGGTGGGGGTGGGGGGGGGGGGGGTGGGGGGGGTGGGGGGAGGGTGTGGGGGGGGTGGGGGGGGGGGGGGGTGGGGGGGGGGGGGGGTGGGGGGGGGGTGGGGGGGGTGGGGGGGGGTGGGGGGGGGGGGGGGGGGGGGGGGGGGTGGGGGGGGGTGGGGGGGGTGGGGGGGGGTGGGGTGGGGGGTTTTCCCATCCAACACGCCGCCAGGGTCGGCGGACCCCAAACCCGAAACCCGAAACCCGAAACCCTAAACCCTAAACCCTAAACCCTAAACCCTAAACCCTAAACCCTAAACCCTAAACCCCAAACAAAGGTGGGTCGGTTAAAACCCCGGGCCCATACCCTCTGCATCTTCTACAAACTGTGGGACGTTCCCCCTTATACTAACCGTCCTTAGTCGGGATTATAGTAGTTCGTGTAAGGGGGAACATCCCAATGCACGCTTCCTAGACCCTAAACCCTGAACCCTAAACCCTAAACCCTAAACCCTAAACCCTAAACCCTAAACCCTAAACCCTAAACCCTAAACCCTAAAGCCCTAAACCCTAAACCCTAAACCCTAAACCCTAAACCTACTCCCTTTGGTTCCTTGAGCGGAGATCAGGTTGCGAGTTCCTGGCGCCCCTGCTGGGCATCGACCAGGCCTCGCCAGCCTTTGTTTAGGGTTTAGGGTTTAGGGTTTAGGGTGTCTTTTCCCAGTTATCGTGCTTAGGGTTTAGGTTCAGAGTCAGTTGTTTGGGTTTAGGTTCAGGGTTTAGTTGTTGCTTAGGTGGTTTTCCAGTTGGTGGTTGTTGTATTGGGGCTAGGGCCTAGGGTTTTGTTTTGTTGTTCAGCTTGGTTTGTTCCTGTGTTCAAGGTTTATGTTGATTTGCGTTTCATTCTTTCTGGATGAGGGAGGTTCTGGGGGGGGTTCCGTGCGCGTTACATATCCTAGTTCCGGGATTAGGGCGTTGAGAAACCCGAAGCCCCAAACGGATCGAACCATGTTGTTAACAACTCTCAACCCGAAGCCTTATAAGCCCTACACACCAAGCCCGTCACACCCATACCCTTCATCATGCTTTTTCAACACCTCTAAAGCCCAAACCCGGACCCTGAACCCTACCCTATGACCCCAAACCCGAAACCCTAAGCTCTAAGCCCTAAAGCCTAAACCCTAAACCTGCATTTTCAGGAGTGCACGCCGGAAGACGACTCGCGCTTCGCTCAGCTGCAGGAGCGGCCCCCCCCCCCCCCAACCCCCCCCCCCGTTTCCCGGCGGTTTTTGTAGGGTTTAGGGTTTAGGGTTTAGGGTTTAGGTTTAGGTTTAGGGTTTAGGGTTAGGTTTCCCCCCCCCCCCCCCCGCTCCCTCCTTTTGAACGGAAGCGAGAACACCGCAATGAATGATTAAGCACCCACTTGCATCTGGGCGCTTCCGCGTGAAGTAATTGTGAGCCCTCAGCCCTAAATCCCGAACCCTAAACCCTAAACCCTAAACCCTGGTTTTGCAAGCCCTAAGCCCTAAACCCCATCCCTCGGTGCCCTACATCAGACGTCTCAATCCAGGGCTCACGTTCAAGGTCCTTAAGTCCTAAGCACGAAACCCTAGGCTGTAATTAAGCCCGTAGCAGAATATCCCAGACCCTGGGCCCGGGTGTAGGGGTAGGACTCAAGGGATATGGGGTTCACGGTCTTTGTTCAGGGTTCGGGGCTTAGGGTAACATTCGCGGACGCATCATCAACCGGTCGGCCGGCCCTACAAACCCTGAAGCCCAAACCCCAAACCCGGTCCCTTTGGGGTGTGGGTTCGGTTTGGTAGGCTGGAGGGTCTCATTCAACGGAGGCAGATTCCCTTTTACTGAGAGTGAGGTTTCAAATCATTTTTTTCAAAACCTCCGCTAAATTCACATGAACCCCTAAGCCGCCTAAGCCCTTAGCCCTTAGATCCTAAACCCCTACTTAGTAGTAGAGTAGATAACCTTTAACCTTTTTGGGTTAATATATTCCCCTTATAATCCCAAAGGTTAACCTTTAAAACCCCTAGGTACTGGACAACTAAGTAAACCCCTAACCCCTAACCCCTGCACTCACCTTGAGCCCTAACCCTGAAGACATCCCGAGTCCCAAATCACACTCCGCCCCCGCAGGACAATGGTCAGAATTGTGTGGTCTATGCAGTGCCCCATCTGCATTTAGGGTTTAGGGTTTGGGGTTTAGGGTGTAGGGTTTAGGGCCCATTCCTTCCCAAACCCTTGAAATAAGGATACGCCCTTGAATGATAACTTGCCGGATCCGTAGCCTAGGGTCCGGTTATAAGCAACCTCTTGGAAGGACGAACAGGTATATTCACGGTTTCGAACTGGTATATTCACAGTTTAGGGTTTATTGTGTGGAGGGTGTGGTTATGCTGTCGTGGCTCGGGCACCGGAAATGTTTCGAAGCTTTGTTCCACAAGGTCGAGCTTGTAGGATACACTGCGCATCATGCCGCAAGGTCTGCGTGCATGGGAGGTGGGAACATGGCACCGTTTGTCCACCAACCCCGGCGGTTCCCACGCCTAGACTGCGAGGGTTCCTAAACCCTAAAGCCCGGAGTTGTCTTCAAAGGAGTTCAGGGTTTAGGGTTTAGGGTTGAACTTCTCTACACAAGATGTCCCCTTTTGGGGGCATTCCAAAGACTTTGCTCCGTATCGAGTAGGAACCTCAAAAAGCAAACCTACCACAACTTTCCCATCTATCCCAAATCCTCCTTCTGATGGTTTATGGTTTAGGGTTTAGGGTTTCAGGGATTCACAGCCCAATATGATACATGCAACAACCATTCTTCAGGGGCCCGCATATCTTCCGAGTTCCTAGTAGGGAATTGGGGATGCAGGGGCATCTTATCCGGCATACGACCCTTGAAGTGATTATAAAGGTTCCCCCCTTAAACCCTACATCCTAAGCCCCGAACCCTAAACCCTACCCCATCTAGGTGATGGAGAGGAGGGAGACGTGCAACGAAGTCTGCGAAAAGAAAGGAAGCACCTGCGTGGGGACCTGAGCACCCCCAGGGCCCGTGTTCTCAGGCTTGGGGGGGCTTTGGGATGCTAAGGGTTTAGGGTTTAGGGTTTAGGGTTTAGGGTTTAGGGTTTAGGGTTTAGGGGTTCAGGGATTACGGTTTAGGGGCCTGCAGGGTGTATGGTTGAGCTGTAGGCTTTCTTTTCTGCTGGCTTCGTCATCGGTATCCCTAAAGGGACCCTATCTTAGAGACTCCGTCAGATGCATTCTTGTCGTTTCTGATCCCCCAAACACAAGCCCTAAACCCCGAAATCCGGCCCTCAAGACCTAGAATCTGCGACTATTGCCAGATTGCCCATGGTGTTGGTGGGTACACCTTGGGAGGTCCCCCCTGATGCTAGCAGTGCTGAGTAGGGATTATACTAGGGGGGGAGGGGGGGGTACTATAATCCCTCTTAAGGACTGTCAGGAAAAGGGGGAACATCCCAAGGTACACCAAAAGGGACCAGGATGTAAAGAACTGGTGAACGACCCCTTCTGTGTTTTCGTGACTCTGCAGGAGCCAGAAAGGGTTTAGGGCCCCAAACCCTAAACCCCAAAGCCTTACCGCAAACCAGAATCCTCCTATGCCCAGGTTGCGGCGAAGGCGGATGACGGCGTGTGCCGCGCCGATGGAAAGTTCAAGGCGATTGAGGGTTTAGGTTTGTTTGGTTGCATGGTTGTATAGTTATAGTCTGCTTGGGGTTTACGGTTTCGACCGGGTCTTCGGTCGGAGTTAGCTATGGATCCCTAAACCCTAAACTCTAAACCCTAAACCCTAAACCCTAAACCCTAAACCCTAAACCCTAAACCGGCTCCTAAGGGTTCCGGGACCCGACCAGAAGCCGAAATCCCTACCGAGCCGGAGCTTAGGATTCCGAGTTTGCACTGTTTAGGGTTTAGGGTTTAGGGTTTAGGTTTTAGGGTTTAGGGTTTAGGTTTTAGGGTTCAGGGTTTAAAGGCTTTGTGCGGTCTCAGGGGTTTAGGGCTTCGGCTGTAGTCCTCGCCGAAGTTGGGGTGAGCAGGGTTTTGGGGGGGGGGGGGGGTTGCAAGGGAGCTCGGCCTAAGACCCTGATCCGAACAACCTAGCGCTTCTGATCCGTAAACCCCGAAAGAGCCAAACCCCCTGAATCCTACACCTGAAAGGGTCTAGGGTTCAGGGTTTAGGGTTTAGTAAACCCCATAGATCCCAACCGTCCATGGACCCTTAGCGTCCCCTTGTTCCGAAAGCTCAGCCGCTTTCCGCCAGAACGTGCCTTGCTCCAGAAAGCTCTACGACGCGCTCTGCTGCTTCGGCTTGATCCCATCGACCCTTAAACCCTTCATAGGGTTTAGGGTTTAGGGTTTAGGGACCCTTAAGCCCTTAGACTCTGAATTAGGTCCCAGAGTAGGCCCTTGTTCCCTTTTTTTGGGTTTAGGTTCCCTTGTAAGCCCTGTTAACCCAAAAAGGGCACCCTTTTTTATTCCTAGGTCCTAGGTTACTGACCCTTAGACCCTTCCCCCCTACTTACGGGACACCTTGCCCCATTAATCTATGGAACCATTTCGCCAACTCGGCGCCCAAATATCAAGCCAAAAATCCCGAAACCATATTCCCGTTATTCCTTAGCCCAAAATCCAAGCCAAAAAATCCCGAAACCATATTCCCAAAACCCCGTTATACCCATATGCCAAATATCAACCCAAAAATCCCAAGCCGTAAATCCCCGTAAAACCATATTCCGGAAATCCCAAGCCCAAAACCAAGAAAAAACACCTTCCCCCATAAATCCCCGTTATTCTTCAACCCGTAAACCCTAAACCACAAACCCAAGAATAACAATAAGCCTTATGTGGGGCAAGCTCCCTCTAATGAAATTTAATATTATATTATTATAATATTAAACTACATCAACAACGCTTTCTGACGATAAGGCGTTTGTTCTTTGAATTGTTGGAAATCAATTTTTTGCAATTTCTCTTTACTGCATACAAACTTGTTATTGTGTTTATGAATGTTCAATAAGCGTTCGTATGGTTTGAGTCGTTCAACCCAATCGCTTTTTGAATTGTAAATGTATTTTTCATCGAAGTAGTTCTGTCCGTTGTGTAACTGTTCATTAAACTTTAACATTGCATGTTTGACAGGCACGAGTGTTTTTGTTTCTGCATCTTGGACTGTTTGACTATGCGCCATTTGAAGCAACCCGTTAATACTACATTTGTCGTTTGTTTTGGTAAGACATAAGTCTATCTCTTTCATAAGGTTGTTCTTTGTATGACAACACTCGCAACAGCCAAAATGCATTTTAAACATGTTTGTCATGTTGTTGCCCTCATCGCTTAAGCATGTTTCGCAATTTTGGTTTTGTTTGTTGAGTTTGTGTTTATAATCTTTCAGCGTAATTATGTTTAAGAACTCGTTAATGATTTCCTCCTGTTCGATTTCACTGAACATTTCCATGATAATATATAACGTGTTATACCTTTAAGCCGTTTTGTGCCATGATAAATACACGTTTAAAGGTATGTTATGTTAAACCGTTAATCATGGGAAGTTCAACATCAACCCAACAAACAACCACACAACCTTTAATAACTCCTTCGGCTAAAATAAAAAATCCTAAACCTATACATGTCCATCCTAAATTCTCATTGGGCGAATGTATATTTAATATCAATAACCCCGAACTATATAGAGACCACTCGTGTAAAGTAATATTTAAATATGTTGTAAATGATGAAGTTTGTAAAGATATACGGGGTAAGGTAATAAAAGATATATTGAATGGGGTTTCGCATTATACCGAATGGTATTTAAGGACATATATACCTATCGAAAACGAAGATAAAAATAATTGGTTTGTATTCAAAACCGCACTTGACAATCTTGAAGAAACAATAGCCATTTACAAATTAAATAACTTTTCATATCATATTTATCCCTGATGAGTTTTAATATTGCAAATAATATTAAATCGCATCTCATTCCTCGCTTTTAGCGGGTGCTTTAAAATGATACTTTTCTTCTTCCTTGTTAAATTCAATATCATAATATGTTAACGTTTCTGGTTTTGGGACTTTGATTTCGCCCTTATTCAGTCTTTCCATGTAAGTTTTCCTTTTCTTACTCCAATCGCTTTTCTCGCCTTTATCAACTGGTGTTGATGACGTGCTCTTTTCATAAGCGATTGGTTTCTTATCCTTATCCTTAACCAACTGTTTAACAAGTCCTAAAATCTCATTAATCTTTAATTGAGTCATATTGTGGTTTTCTACAACAGTGTTATAAATCTCATCCGTGCTCACCTTACCCTCGGTCATATACGTTATTACGTATTCTACCCTTTAAATACGTATAATTTCCTCAATATCGGCATCGCTTAAAGGTTCTTTTACGTGTTGAATGCACCACCCTTTCGGTTTCAAGTGTTCAATTATTTTCTTAATCTGCGTTTCATTCTCTGGCTTTCTTAAGTCAATCTGTGCCCAAATAAATTTAAATGTTTCGGGTTCATATTTCAATAATCTTTGTTCCCATCCTAAACTTGACCAACAATCTAAATCAATACCTGTAACATAATAATCGCATTTTTCAGCTACTTTTAGAATACTCATTTTGTTCTGGTAAATGTTTAGAAGTTTTCCCATATAAAATATATGTTAAATGTTTTTCCCGACATTTAACGCACGTTTTACACATTTTGCCGTAACAACCAATAAAATACGATTTAGGAACATAACAACGACAATATTTACAAAATCCGATGTCTTGATTATAACCTTCGTTTGGTTCATTTGTTAATTTAAATTCTACTATATTAGCCATATTAATAATAATAACAATTTATTATTGTTATATGTATAGGGGAGAAGAAAAAATAATTAAGCAACTGCTTATGAGATGCTATTGAACGTGTCGCACTACTTCCCTTCCGTGTGTCCGTTCAATGTGAAACAAAGGGGTCGCTCGTCAGAGCCTCGCAAGCTTTGCAAGCTCCGCGTCACTGTTTGGGGGCAACTGTCATGTTTAAAGAACAACATTTCTTTAAACATAATACCGAAAACGCGTTTTCTTGTGTCATAATCTAATATAAATATGTCTTTAATATTAATCCATACTATTTAATTTCAAGTTCTTCTTTAGCTCCTCTACTTCTTTTTCTAACACTTGTATTCTTTCTTCGGGCGTTGGTTTTCGCGAACCGAACCCTGTATCTACAGTATCAACATCTTCATTATCTTTCATATTAGTTTTAAAAATAGCGTTTCCGTCGGGTGTCGTTCCTCTGCCCATTTTCCAACTACTCCTATTCTCTACCTGATTAACTACGACGTTACCCTGTTTATCTGTTGTTGTTTTAGTTTGTTTATACAATGCCTTTTTACCACATCTACAAAAGTTACAATCAACACTACTTTTATCAATGTGAAACCCTCCGCTGTTCTGTTCCATTAATATTATTTAGATTTTTTCATATTTTTAAGATAATAACAAACGGCTTTCAAGAACTCTAACAAACTACGACAACACGTTCTGTATCTTGGTGTTTTTATTACTTCGTCTAATTTCTCTAACTCGTCTATTACATCTATATAATTTTTGTAGTTGTACATATATTAAATAACGATATAATTTTCTATGTATTAATAATAATGTCAAACATTCCAATAGTCAAACCTGTCAATGTGAAAGAATACGAGTTCAAACAATCTAAATATGAAGTAGCCCCGAGATTACCTTTCAGTCAAATAATAACTGGCCCTTCTGGAAGCGGTAAAGGTATTTTACTACAGTCAATGATATTAGACATCTATAAGGACGTCTTCGCGAGAATATACGTATGGTCGCCCTCTGTTTCAATTGACCCTAACTGGACTCCTGTTAAAAGGTATATACAAAACGAATTGAAGGTGGATTTAGAAAAAGAAAAATGTATGTTTGATGAATACAACCCCTCGGAATTAGAAGAAGTTATAAACAGACAACATAAAATAACTGAGTATCAAAAGAAGAATGGGCACAAGCAATTGCATTCAATATTAATTATTGTTGATGATTTTGCTGATTCAAAGAGTTTTTCACGCAATAGTCCATTATTAAATCAATTATACGTAAGGGGACGACATAAAGCGATATGTATTATAACGGCAACGCAAAAGTTTAACGCACTGTCTCCAATAATTCGTGTCAATAGTCGTCAGTTGTTCTTCTTCAGATTAAGGAATTACAAAGAAATCGAAACAATGGTTGAAGAATTAAGCGCCGTATTGATTAAAAAATCTTCTGTAGCAGATACTAAAAATTTAGCAGAAGCGAAGAAATTATTATTAGAAGTATATAATTTGGCAACAGAAGAACCATATAGTTTTTTGTTCATTAACTTAATGAAAGCAGACGTAAATGACATGTTTTATAAAAGGTTTGATGCTAAATTAGTTATTGATTAATAATATTATTTTCATAATAATATTATTTATCACTTTCCATCACCTTTACCTTTACCTTTTAATGTTTTTATTTCTTTTTCTAACTTATCAATACGATTTAAAGAATTTTGTAAAGCACTCCATAAAATAGGAACACAAGAAGTATAATCAAACTTTAGATATCCGTCTTTGCCTTCTTTAACTATATTTTGCCATTCATCTGGGACTTTTTTACTTAAAAAGTCATTAGCAATAAAACCACAACATGATTTACCCTTTTGTCTGTCGTCAATAAAATGATATGTTTTTGGAACAATGTATTTAACTAATTCCACTGCCTTTTTTTGGTTAAGTTCCTTAATATCTTTTTTCAATCGTTTATCAGAACTTGGAATTAAAGACCCAGTATATTCAATATCTCCATTAACGAGAATGCCACTTGGTGAAATTGAAAATACATCATTCGATACTGAAACACTACCAAAATAAAATGCATATTCGCCTCCTGCGTCAGTATTTAAAAATTGTATTTGGTCTACGGTGCTTATTGTCTCTTGTGTTATTTCTAAGTTATTCATTTTTACTTTTCCGTCTGTTAATTGTATTTCTGGTGTGCTACTTTCTAATCCAACAGTTAAATTAATGTCGCCTAACGTGTCTCCATTTCGAACAAACAATTTATATTGTCCGTCCAATACTTCTTTAAACTCACTACTATTTTGAAACATAAAGCGCCCCCAACTAATAACATCTGCCTCACCAACGATATTACCAATACTATTAAAAGTTAAGTTATTTGTAACTGCTCTATTAATAGTAATTCCGTTAGTGTCGTTTAATTGTAGTGCTATTGTTCCTGTTGTTGGGTCGGTTGTTCTATTTGATTGTAATGAAAAATTAATTTCTTCTGTTGATATTACATTTAATGAATTATTAACGTCTGCTCTTTGAAATATTCTCCCTGAATTATTAATATAAATATCACTATTAAAAGTTGCTATGTTTTGAAATGATGAAGTGCCACCAAAATTAGCATTCCCACCACTTACATTTAGTTTATTTGCTCCTTGAATTGC